AACTATTATTAACCTTAGGTTTTATTTGCTGAAAATTATTTGCAGTTGTATGCATATGAAAATTTGAAATTACCTTTTAAATTAAAATTTTTACATAGATTGCTTATACTCTAAGCCTTGAAGTTGAGTCAAGTGGCTATAAAATATCAATTTCATGCCATGATTACTAGCTAACTGCATTTGGGAACTGGATAAAGTGGCATTCTGTAATGGAGTCTTTGTAAGTTCCATCACTGTGGTATGAGGCTTGTCTGTACTGTAATTACAAATGAGTGGCTTATTTTTATCAGCTGTACCTGAACTTTAGAATGTTGTCCCCTTGTAAGTAATACCTTCAGAGGATTTATCTAACAGTGTTGTCAGTATTTATGATTGCCAGTTTATGTTCATAATGCTTTTTATAAGTCACATGTTAAAAAATGTTCTTAACAGTAATTTTTGTAAATAGTGAAGATTAATTTTGATTATCGTTTTAGTTAAAAAAAAAAAAAAAGGCTGGCTTTGAACCAAATGATGCATTTTTCTTTTTGGGATCAGAAACTTTTTTGTGGACCTTGTGTAGTTTACTATTTTCATTCCTGAAACACACTTGAAAATCAGGTAGAGAAAAGATTTAAGGTCTTTGCAGATTACAGAAACGGGAGCTCTTCAGGGAATCTTTCAGAGTTTATTTGCTTTTACTTTACACATTATTCTGTGTAGTTTACAGATAATGCCAACAAGTAGAAAGGTAAAACTTTTAGAGGTAAATATATTGACAGCAATTAGAAATAATGGCATGATAGGAAGTTAAGAGATGGGAGACTGATAAAAAAGGGACACAAAAGCTCAAAAAATGGATCCATGAGTTGCTTGTTACGGGGATACGTTCGGAGAAATGCATCATTAGGGGAAGTGGGTGCCCACACAGATCTAGGTGGGATAGCCCGCTGCTGTGATGGTATGTGCTGTACTCCCCTACTCCTGGCCGCACAGCAGGTCTGCGGACGCCAGCTTCGGCTCAGGCACCTGAGTAATGCACTGTTAGGTGATAGGAGTTTTTCAGCTGCATTATAACCTTATGGGTCCACCATCATATTGTCATATTGGTCCCTCGTAGACTGAAATGTTGTATGACGTGTGGCTGTATACCATCCTGGTTAACTGAATTTTCAGCTCTTTGCCGTAGTACATACCCCAGAGGTGTTACTAGCTTATATAAAGGACGGTGTAGTTACTTGGTGTGCTTGTGAGGGTGATTGATAATACAAGGTTAACCTGCTTTTCATATCTCTCAAAGAAATATTTTTTTAAACTGCAGATTATCCCTTAGATTGTAAAACCCACTGTAGTGGGTCATGACAATATTTAGAAAAATGAAAACAGAAGAAGTTAAAATGCATTGCATTGTTACAGGCTTACGAATGGTTTTAAAGAACTTCTGTTTCACTTCATGTATATAAACTGTTGCAACATAAACTAATTTTTCATTGGTATAGTCGGAGTCACCATGTAGAGATACACTTAGATGCAGTGACAGGATTGAGGGGAGGGTTTTGCAGTTATGTCTGGATGGGGTTGCCAGATTTAGCAAGTAAAAGTGAAGGATGCCCAGTTAAACCTGAATATCTGATAAACAATGACTAATTTTTTTAATATAACTATATCTCAAATTGCATTGGACAAAATTATTCATTATTTATCTGAAATTCAAATTTAACTGTACATCCTTTTATCTGGCAACCCTAGTTTAGGCTAGAATTGGGGTTCATTCGTAGTGACTAAAATCTGAGGGTGGGAGCTTCATCTTGTTGACTCCCAAATCCCGGTCCCCCGGGGCAGGCTTGGCGCTGAGAGAGCCACGTGATTGGATGAATGAACTGGCAAGTCACTCACTCTCAGGTTCAATCTCTATATCTGTCAAAAGGAGAAAAGAATACCTTCCTTCAAAAGCAAGATACTACATTATTACATCCCACTCTTGGCACGCAGTAGGTCCTCAGTATTTTAGAATCACACAGATTTGGAGTTGGAAGTGGTTCTGGTGGTTTCAGGTCTCATCCTCACAGGCACAGACATTATTTGTCAGAGTTCTCCCATCATTGGCTGCAGAGCGAGCTTTAGAATCTTGTTCCCTAATATAACATTTGTTTATTTTTTTTAAATTATTGATTTGAGAGGGGGAGAGAGAAATCAGTTTGTTGTTCCAAGTATTTATGCATCATTGGTTGCTGCTTGTGTGTGCCCTGACCAGGGATGAATCTGCAACCTGAGCATGTGCCCTGACCGGGAACAGAACCAGGATCTAGATCCTTAGGTCGATGCTCAACCGCTGAGCCATGCTGGCCGGGCTGCTTGTCCTTTTTAACTCAGAAACTTTAGTTCAAAATAAAGCTCCTCTGGAGTGTTTCTACCGGGCGTTTTTCCTTGCCTCTCTGAGTAGCCTGTCGTGATCCTTAACCTCGGCGGCAAATAGGTTTTACCTCATACCAGTTCTGATTGGTTGGAGCATTATGTAGAGACTTCTGATACTTCTTTTGGCTTTAGTGTTGTGCATAGAGAAGGAGGTGGGGTGGTTTTATCTGTCCTGGGACCTGAGGGTGTTTGCTGACCAGCTTAGCCAGACCCCTGACTGGTCACTTCTTGTCCAGATCTGTACACACCTCACAGCCGCGACAGCTGCCCCAGTCATTTTGTCCTGTCCTCTGTCTGCTGAGAACGCCGCGTGGCGCTCACTACTAGCTGCGTCAAATCCAGGCTGTTCTGCCTGAGTCGAGTCCCTGCACAGACCGCGCACTGCGTTTATTCCCCGCACAAATCAGGTTCCCCCAGGCTAGGCCTCTTGTCCTCTTCAGCATCTGTCTTTGAAGGCTTGGCCAGGTCGCCTCTTGCACAGTGTCTCACCCTGTTTGCTCCAGGAAGATGTGGTTCCTTCCTTTTCCGTAGCGTCGGCATTCATTGCACAGCACCCTGGACTTCAGGGCAGCAGCTCCTCCACTGAGAGCTGTCTCCTTAGGGTAGCCTGCGATAGGAGCAGAGCTACACCCCAGAACAAAAGTGGGTTAACGCCACCAGCGTTTGTTTATGGTCATTTCACAGCCAGCCATTCCTGTCATTTTAAAATTCTGTGTGTGGACTGTGTTTAAACTTGGTTTGTTGTCAAAGTTACCACTTTGAACAAGTGCAGCAGAACTGAGCATTGACTGTGTCAGCATTTAATTGTGATAGAAATGAGAGGTTTAAAAAATTGTAAGGAGTAAGGAAATGATGGCTTGGAACAGGATGAGTTATTCTGAAGGACAGATCAGAAAGTACCACCTTCAGTGAGTAATAATCCACAAAAGATAAAGAGAGTTGATGGATGGAATAGGAGAACTTGGAAGTTCGAGACTAAAGATGGGAGAAGTTTGGGAGGGGGTTAAAGCAGTTAAAGCGGGACCGCTGACTGTCACCTGCAAGCGGCGCTGCAGCCTCACAGCCGTTGAGTAAAGGGTCTGAGGCATCTCCAGTGACACCTGAAATTTTTTAAGAGAAGGTTATCTTTTAGGAAGAGATGCCCAATAGAATGTTCACATACTGGGTCTGCCTGCTTCAAAACCTCCCCCTGTCCATTTTGGACCTAGGAGCACATGGATATAGAGAAGAGACTTAAGAAATTTTTTCATTACTCAGTGCACTGTGATTTAGTTCAAATTACTAGACAGTTGTTCCTTATTGTGGTAGATTGCTGTTTAATGAGATGTGTTGAGGTATAGTTTACATAAACTTCACCCTTTTTGTGTATAGTTCTTGAGTTTTGACAAACATGATTACGTAGCTGCCGCCACCACACATAATATGACCCCATAAAATTTCCTTGTGCCTCTTTTCAGTCCCTTTCCTCCAGCCCTGGCTATTACGGACCTGTTTCTTGTCATCATAGTTTTGTCTTTTCTAGAATGTCAATACCTGGAATCATACAGTATGCAGCCTTTTGTGACTGGGGTTCTCGCATAGCGTAATGCTCTGAGGTTCATTGGTGTTACTGCATGTGACAGTGACAGCAGGCTCTTCGTCTTTGATGCTGAGTAGTCCATTGTACGCATGTTCCGCAGTTTGTTCAAGTGATGGACATTTGCGTCAGCAGTTTTTGGCTGTTATAAATAAAGCTGCTATGAATATTTGTGCAGACTTTGTGTGATAACAATTACATAACAATTACATTTCTCTTGGTTAAATATATAGAAATGGGATTTCTGAAGTTGTATGGCAAGTATTTACTTAATTTTAAAAGTAATTGCCAAACTGTTTGCTGAAGTGACTGTACTATTTGTATCCCCCTCAACAATATATGAGATTTCTTTTTAATAATTTATTTTCCAATTACAGTTGACGTACAACATTATATTAGTTTCAGGTTAAGATTTCTAATTGCCCAAATTTTTGGCAACACTTGGTATGTTAATCTTTAATTTTAGTCATTCTAGTGGAGGGGTGGGGAACCTTTTTTCTACCAAGGGCCATTTGTATATTTATAACATCATCTCAGGCCATACAAAATTATCAACTTAAAAATTAGCTATGAAAAAAGTTCCTAGATTTATTGTATTTTGAGTCCCACCTGTGGTTGCCTTGGCAGGGCCAGACCAAATGATTTTGCTAGCTGGATGTTCCCTACCCTGCTCTAAATTTCACATGAAGAGGTCCCCCCCCCCC